ATTCCCGACTGCAAAGACACTTCGTCCGGCCAGACGAGAGCAAAAGAGGGGATCGCTTCGCGTCACTGTTGTGCGAGTTTGAGTTCAACATTGGCAATACCCAACAACGTCAACAACAAGCTCGGTGAGGTGAGCATATAGCGTATCTTCGATACCAAACCCTCACGCACTAAACCCTAAACCCCTAAACCCGTTTGGGGTCCAAAATTCGGGGATCTACTTTCCAGATCCTCCGGGGGTCTGGGTAGGGCCCGATGCCACAAGCCCAAACTTCCATTGTCAACTTTATAGAGGATTCTTACTACCAGGCCCTCTGCAGGTGCTTCAGCATCCCCTTAACTACAAGTTTGCAGTTTATGGTACCCTAAACCCTAAACCGTAAACCCGAAACCCTAAACCCTAAACCCTACTAATTTATACAGCTTGAGGAGCATTCCTGAGTTCAGCGTTGTTTGGAGCTTCTGGGGTGGCAGGTGCTTCCACTGCAAGAACTGCGGCTCCTGTGTGCAACGACTTGACCACCACTGCCGGAAGCCCATCTTGGTTGAAACAAGGCTTATGGGTTCGAGCGTTCTTTGGTAATGGTGTTCCAAACCCTAAACCCTAAACCCTAAACCCTAAAGCCCTAAAGCCCTAAACCCTAAACCCTAAACCTGTTTTTTCGCATGGGGTTGTGTAATTAGGGTTTTTGTTCGTCTTTAGGGCCTGATCCCGAGGTTTGGGGCTTCTTTCTTGTGTTAAAAAATATGGTCCCTAAAACCTAAGGGCTCAGGGGTTTAGGGGGTATAGGTTTAGGGTTTATAGTTTAGGCTTTAGGGGTTTAGGGTTTAGGGTTTTTTAAAAATATGGTCTCCTGCTTTTATACATCGCATCTATGGTTGGAAGGAATGTGTGGTCGGACTTTGCATGGCATGGCTTCTCGATTATCTCAACTTTCCAGAGGGCAGCAGACTAGCATAGGGGCCCGAGTAAAAACCAATTTTACTCCTTCGGGTTCCTTCTTAGTACGATATCCCCCCAAAACCCCAATTCTAAATGTTAGGACCCCTGTATCACTTGTGTGTTTTCCCTTGTGGCGGCTGGCAAGTCAAAACCCTAAGCCCCCGAAGCCCTAAACCAGAGGGTGCCTGCCTAGGGTTGCAGGGAACATTGTGGCATGAGCTTGAGGCAGGCTTAAAGGGGGGCTTTAGGTTTCGGGCTTCCCAACAAAGTACCCGAAACCCTTAACCCCGAAATGAGGAATTAGGGTTTCAGGGTTTAGGGGCTGCAGTCTAGAGGATGATGGTTTGCTACCGGTTGGTGGGATTGGAGTCTGAGAAACCACCTCGTTAAGGGGTTTCGGGTCCACGTACCCATATCGTGCCATAAGATACACGCTGTGACCAATCTTTGGAAGCCTGACTCACGACAGAAATCATGGTGGTGTGATTGGACTTGGCATCCTTTGGTAGATTAGGAAGCATGGTGTGTGTCTCCTGTTACTCTAGTTTTGGCACTTCGCCAAGCAGGCATCCACCACAGACCCTATATTATTAGGATTATCAGTATTGCCACTAGAATTTGTACCATCACAAGAAAATTGTCACTATAAATAAGTAGTTACATATATATATATATATAATAAATAGATCAAATCAACAAATATGAATATAACTATACAAATATATATATATATATATATGTGTATATATATATATATATGCAGACTTTAGCCTGAACCGTTCGTAGAAATCTCAGCTGCGAAGGCCCATGGCTCGATCGCTGCATCGGGCTGGGCAACCAGAGGTGCGGATCTGGAGGGTTTAGGGCTTAGGGCTTTGGGTTTAGGGCTTAGGGCTTTGGGTTTAGGGCTTAATTAGGGCTTTGGGTTTAGGGTTCAGGGTTTAGGGTTTAGGGAGAAGTTTCGTTTCCGTCCATTGTTCTTGTCGTGGTTCCTGCATGGGTCTGGGGGGGGAGGGGGCGGTTGGGGGTCATCCTTACACCCTCATAACGGTCCTTGTACTTGTTTGATGTATTCTTTGGCCTCAAGGGGGTTGCTATATGGTTTCGTTACGGACAAAGTACAGACAATATGAAGTTCCTTAAAGTCCTAAACCCGAAACCCTAAACCCTAAACCCCTAAACCCTAAACCCTACCGGTTGTGCAGACACACACCAGGACAAGACATGACAAGACTACGAGCCCCAAGCCCATGGGTCGAACTACTGTTGATGATGTAAATCCTGCACTACCTTATAAGGACCCTAAACTACGGGAATTATGGTATATTCCCTATTATGATCTATTATGGATACCTATCGTCTCCATTGTCGTTCCTTTTTTTGGTTTAACCATTTTTATATTAAGGATCCTGTAAGGTAGCCCCAAAAAGGAACTACACTGGAGACTATAGGGAATGCAGGACTTAGATCATCAACCGTAGTTTCCCCTATCTTGGCCCATTTTTTTCAAGTAGAGTGTAATTATTTGTCGAGATATGTGCGCTTCAGACGTCCGTGCCCCATGCGTCTGGCTCCGTACCTCGAAACCGACGTGCATAAGAAGCCTACTACTGCAACAAAATGTCGTCTACCGATTGCTTTAGGGCTTAGTGTGAGGTTATTGGCCTCGAACGCTTTGCATGGTATCCTAAACCCTAAAATCCTGAACCCTAAACCCCAAAACCTCCAAACCCTAAACCGTAGCATGGTTTCAGGTCTCTCGGACAATTGGTTGAGGGCTTTGTGTCGTGGTTAAGGCCGTTACCCTACGGGTCCAGGTGCCCAAATAGCATAGACTTTGGGTTCACCCTAAACCCTAAACCCTAAACCCTAAACCCTAAGCCTTAGGGTTAAGAAGTCGGGAACCAAGCTTCAGGATGCATGGATTCACCCGAAACCCTAAACCCTAAGCCCCAAGTGGTGTTCGGGGTCTAACAGCATTGGGACACAGCTCAGTGAGGCCCGCCGGTCCACAAGGTCCATGACAGAACGAGCAGCAACATAGCCCCAACCCTAAACCCTAAACCCTAAACCCTATCCCCTAAACCCTAAACCCATAGCCCAGTAGGGGAGTAGCTAGTCTTGAACCTTTTTGGTGGACAATACGCCCAGTACAATCGAAATATATTCCCAAAGGTTCTTAATATAGGCGCTGCTATTTTGGGTGGGTTCCTTAATATAACTATAGTATAATGGGCCGCAAAACCCTCTTCTAATTATTGAGGTCCTATGTTGACCTCTAGTTCCCCCGGATACTGGGTAAGTAGGATAGAACATCCCCATGGTTAGGTTAGGGTTTAGGGTTTAGGGTTTAGGGTTTAGGGTCCATGGTTTGGAGACCGAGGATCTTTATGGTATTATATGCGGACCCCTGAACCCTAAACTCTAGGCCAAAACCCTGAGTGCTAGACCCTCAATTCCAGGGGGCATAACCGCAAACCCTTCTGAACCCAAGCCATAGGTCATTCTACGTGTTCCTCTACGTTCTGCTGGCGGCACTTCTGGAATTCGAGCATCTTTGCACTGCTTTCCTGGCCGATGAGGCTCTTCCTTGAGTAGGTTTGATGGTTGAGGGTTTTAGGGTTTGGGGTTCTCGGGTGTAGGATTTAGGGCTGGGAGTTTAGGGGTTTAAGGTCTTTTGGGCTTCCAGGGTTTAGAATTTAGGGGTTAGGGGTTCAGGGATTGGATTTTTAGGGCTTTTATCCGTTGAGGGTTTGACTGCAGCGGGTGCTCCTCGGAATTTCGTCTTCATTTCTGGTATCGTATACGCCCGAGGCACTGTTTCAAAATAGTTTCTGTGTTGCTTGTCTAAGGGGCGTTTAATACAAGGTTTTTATGTGATTTTGCAAGGTCTCTGGGGCTAGTTTAGCGCTTAGGTGTGACGGGGGACTTCATGCACATGCTTGCTTGATTCCATACACTGTGCCGCCTGCTGAACCCGCATATGACTTACTGTACTGTACTTCATGATGGCATCCGTCTTCATACTTGACAATATGCCTGTCTCATTCCAAGATTTCCCTCCTTGACTAAAGTGACTTGCTGCCTCTGACGCAGTCGTTGTGGCTCGGCTTCCGTTGCCGACAGGCCTGTGCCGATGTTTCAGGGCTATGGCTACGCCGGCGGCGGCGCCGGCGGCTGCGGGGCGGGCTGTGGGGCCGGCTGCGGCGGCTGTGGCGGCTGCGGGGGCTGCGGAGGCTGTGGCGGCTGTGGCGGCTGCGGCGGCTGTGGCGGCTGCGGAGGCTGCGGCGGAGCCGGGTCCCTCTTCGTTTGAGGAATTCTTGTCTTTTGGTCGTTTTGGGGTGGGAGCGGAAAATGATGTTTCACATATTTTTGAAGCCTTAAGATCCCCATGTCCAAAACCTACACCCGACGGAATGAGCCCACAAACCCTAAACCCTCTGTAGACATACCCTGAAGTTCCGACGGCATGTTAAGGTGCTTTGGCGGCTGTGGCGGTGGATGCATGGGAGGCCCGAGCCAACGCCATAATCATCAATAGGGTTTAGGGTTTAGGGTAGGCTAGGGTTTTCTTAAGGGTTCCTCTAAAGGGTTCTACGTCACTGTATCGGGACCTTAGCAAATAGAATAGGGCTTTAGTGTATGCTGCAGTAGAGCTCTAAGAGGAAGGAAGCCCATCAGGAAGTATCGTAGCAAGTATTCAGGCTTTTGTGTTATGTGCATCGGAGACCTTTCGCCTTTGGAACTTTGCTGTAAGGGTCTGAACTAATAACAGATATTACAGGTACCGGAGAGGATGTCTTAAAGGCTTTTCGCCACGAAGTCAGCACCCATTTAGCACGCACACACACACACACACACACCCGTCGTCAAGGCAACACCCCCAAATGATTGAAACAGACATCAGGGCGTAGGGTTTTGGATTGAACCCAGGTTTTTCAGATGCGAAGACCTTCCTGGTATTCTTGGGCCATGTCCTGCATTCAAGGGCGTACCGATTTGTGATGATAACTTGAAGAGTCGGTTCATGGCCAATGTAGGGTTAAGGGTTTAGGTTGAAGGTTTAGGGTTTAGGGCTACCCTATCCTTGTCCTGACGCAGTAGCAGTAGTAGTCGTAGTCGTCGTCGTAGTGGTAGTGGTAGTGGTAGTGGTAGTGGTAGTGGTAGTGGTAATTAGTGGTAGGAGTGGTAGCATTGCTAGTAGTGGTAGTAGTGGTAGTAGTAAACGTAGTAGTCGTAGTGGTGGTAGTGGTGTTAGTGGTGGTAGTAAGTAGGGGTAGTGCAGTGGTTGTAGTAGTTGTTGTTGTAGTGGCAATAGTAGTGGTCGTGGCGGAAAAAATGGTCGTGTCGGTAAACTCCGACGACAAGACATGCATGCAGCGTGCTACTCACCAATTGTAGCCTTCACGGCCCAATGTTCGAGGCCATACTCACTGATTATATCCCATTCTTGCCATGGCGCTGTCTTGTCTTGTTGCTTTCATCGACTTTCAGCCATTGCACACTCGATGAAACTACCTGCTCTTGAAAGTAAGTCAGTTGTTTAGATTGGTTTACACAGACACATACAGCGCTCTTTTGCGTAGCGACACATGCCTCGCAGCACACATTTCTCAGCACCACGCTCGTTAAACCCAGAATCTAGTTCTCAAGCCTCCACGTTCGAATCACCTGCAGCCGTAAACGTCAGAATTTAGGGTTTGGGGTTTAGGGTTTAGGGAGACCCGTACTGACTCTCCGCGATACCTGCCAGGCCTCTTCGACGCCATGAAAACATAAACCCTAAACCCTGAGACCCCTAGCCGCCAACCCCTACACCCTGAATCCCTATACCCAAAACCCCCAAACCCCAAAACCCCTAAATCCCCAAACCCTAAACCCTAAGGGTACACTGGAGCCTCACACCAGAGCCCTAAGCGCAAAGCCCCTGAGCCCCAAAACCCAACCCCAAAGCCTCAACAAAGAAGGCCAAGGGTCCATGTGCCCAAATAGTATATACTTTGGCCTAAATAGGGTTTAGGGTTTAGGGTTTAGGGTTTAGGGTTTGTCCCTATATAGGTACTTTAGGGCCGATGTGTAAACTATTTGGGCACATGGACCCTTAAACCCTAAACCCTTATGGTACCCTTCTAGAACCCTTTAAAGGAGCCCTTAAAGGAGCCCTACTATTTGGGCACATGGACCCGTAGGGAAACGTCTCCTCAGCAGGGCCCGGGATGCCCAGCGGCCTCCCTGCAGGGCTCCTTGGCCCCGAGTTGCTCTGGACCTCCCGAAAGCCAGGGGCTGTCTTTGTGCGTTCTGTGTTTGTATATATGTACATATATAATATTATATATATATAATATTATATATATATATATATATGTGTGTGTGTGTGTCTGTTTTGTGGGTTAAGTTATATATAAAAATGGTGCTGGAGTTGCTGTAGTTGTGTTTGCAGTGTTTGTTTTCTCCGTTTTTTGGTTCGAAGCTACATGGGCTTAGAAGAGAAAGTGTATTTAGGTGGGCTTCAAGGTTTCGCTGTTCTATAGTTAAACATCAAGAAAAACAAAGCGATGTTAGTTACGAAGGCCCCTACATCAAACCAGCTTTACATGTTCCGACTTGGAGCGTAGGAGTTTGCAAGTGCTAAAGGATGCTGTGAGGGTTGTGTGTTTTTGATAGGGACGATATTGCGTATATACAGATATTACATGTGTGTATATATATATATATATGTATGTATATATATATATATATGAATATATATATATATATATATGTGCCTGGGTCTGGAGCAGCAGCCTCTAATGTTTTGGGACCGGCTCCTTAACGAAACAACAGTTCATATGTTTCCTCTGGTTACTTCAAAGTCTATGTGTATATGTATGTATGCCTGTAATTTATGTATGTATGCATGTATGTATGTATGTATGTACGTATCTACGCATGTATGCATGCATGTATGTATGTATGCATGTATGTATGTATGTATGTATGTATGCATGTATGTATGTTTGTGTGTCTGTATGTACGTAGGTATGTAATGTAACGTAATGTAATGTAATGTAATGTAACGTAATGTAATGTAATGTAATGTAATGTAATGTAATGTAATGTAATGTAATGTAATGTAATGTATGTATGTGCGTGCGTGTATGTGCGTGTATTTTATATATGTGTGAACATGTGCAAGTACATGTAGATGTAAATGTACAAGTTTGTGAATACGTATATATATATATATACACATACATATGCGCATGTGCATATGTATGTGTATGCGTTTTATACTTATGTGTGTTTTTTGTATGTGTAGGTATGTAGGTCTATGTGTATCTATGTACCATACAGCATACATGCATCCATACGTACATACATACATACATGCTTGCGTTCATACATACATATCCACACACATACAGTATGTATGTATATACATATATGTACATATGTAGTATATATACATATATGGGTACACATGGTACATGTATATGTATACTGTCTCGTTGTGATGTTCCTGGACAAGAAACTACTTGATTGGGGGGGTTAGGAGTTCGAATCATACAGGAAAAGGGTTTGGGGATGGAGTTTTCCGTCAGGGTTTCGGGCACAGCGAGACAGTGGGGCGTTCCAGGGAATTCTATGATTTCACCTTAAACCCTAAACCCTAAAGCCAAAACACTAACCCCTTATGCACCTAGGCCTAAATCAAAGAGCTCCAACCTTCACCCGCCAAAGCCTAAATCCTGCACTGAAGCTATAATTACTAAACCTTAAGCCTGGAACCATTCAACCAATTACAACTTTCATAAGACTTGCCTAGGCACCCTATGAATAAGGCCATTATCATTACACCCGTAAGCGCTCAAACTTTAAGAAAAATAATTTGTTTAACACCATAATCTCGCCAGAAAGCCATGCATGACATTCAACACCCTTCCATGAGAAATCCCCCAAACCTTAGCAGATGTTTTCCACTCAAATGCAGAGAACAAAAATAACTCTCAGACCGGTGCTGTGCTGTGGGAGGCTCCCCAAGACAAGTCTGCCCCTGAAGAACGAGCCCTAAACCGTAGTTTAGTAGCCCTAAACGGTAAAACCCCAAACGCGAAACCCTACCCTAAGGGTCCAAGTACCCAAATAGTATATACATTGGCCCCAAAGTACCTATATAGGGACTACATTAAGGCCAAAGTATATCCTATTTGGGTACATGGACCCTTAGGGCTACAGAATTCCGAAGAATAAACCCCCAACTCGTGGCCCTAAGGAAGACAAAACCCTACAGAATTCCGAAGAATAAACCCCAACCCTACAGAATTCCGAAGAAGAAACCCCCAACTCGTGGCCCTAAGGAAGACAAAATAGCTTTAGACACGACCCTCGAGGCTCATGGGAGCCATACCCGGGCGAGTGCCAACTACGGTGCCTCCAAAAAGCAACTCGGGCTGTTTAGGGTTTAGGGTTT